CTCCAAGCAGGCCTGGATTATGACTTTTTGAAGCCCCTAATAAAATTATGCCAAGATGGAGCCACCTCTAACTCACACCTGTCTTGAATATTTTTACTTGGGATATATTTTAGTGACATTTACATAACTTGAAGTAAACTTATTGCAAATTCTTTAAATAAAAATATTCAATAAAAATATTCTTTAAGAAATATCACAATTTTACTATTTATTGCAAATCAAATTAACATATTAGCACAACCATATTAAAAAACAAAATCAAAACAAAAAACACATTTTTTCTAATCAGCATTATAATAAAGCTTGAGGGGTCCCTAGGCTGCAACTTATACAAGCCTATAGGATAATCTGGTTCTGCATTTGAGTTATGTATAGTGCAGTGATCAGTGACAGAATATTTGGCAGTGGAAGGTTTTGTGCTCACCAAGGCTCATGGTTGTATAAAAGCAATGGAAGGTTTTGAGCATTGAAAAGAGGAGAATTATTTTTTTTTAATTTGTTTGCATCACACCAATGCAAAGCTGCATTTCCCTCTACAGTGGGAGGCCTGAAATTTATCATTGTTTAACACCCCTCTATGCATGTGTGATTTGGTACTGTCAGATTTTGGTCGTTCTTGTAATTGAAAAGTGTATTGAAAGGTCAACATTTTTCATCTGATGCCAAAGTGTCTGATGTACGATTGATGAAAATGAAACTGGAAACTTCCTTCCTACAAGGAATAAAGAATAAAGAGAACTTGGGGAGAAATACGAAGCATTAAATGGCAACTGTTGAAAAAATACATTTGTAATTTTTTGTTTCTCTCTCTGGTCTGAAACTTGTTATATAGGATTGCAGACTTTATTTATAAATAAACCTTTCTGTTTATGAGAAGATGCTGAAAATTTATCAGACCAACAAAGAAGCCTTTTTCCTTAAAATTCTTGTTCTTGGTCATTTAATCGTTTTTTGTTTGTTTTTTTTTTGTTACGATATAAATTTTACAGCACCCCCTTATAGTTAATTATATTTCATCTTTTTTTAAACATCAAAATAACAATTGGAAAATATAAAAGAATAATATAAATATAATATGTGTCTCACCCCAGATCATATCAGAATACGGTTTGCATTCAGTCTCCTTCAGAGAAGATGGGCAGAGTTGATCTGGCAGGTGTTCTATTCACTAAATGGAGACCTATGTGATAGGTACAGATGCATCTGGGTTGCAAGCATGGCAAAGAACAAAATTATAGGAGATATCCAAATAAAACATTCAGAGAGGAAATGAGCAGTCTCTCAGACAGCACAGATGAGAATGTAAGGTCCACATTTCTGCCAAAGGGCCATTACACACAAACATACACATTGGCTAACAGTAATTAAAAAGTATTGAAATGAAATAAAAGATAATGTCAAATATGAAACTGATTCAAACTTTGTTGTTATTAATAATTTAAACAAAATATCATTACATAAATCAGATAATAAAATCTGAGGTGGAATGTGTCACTGGATATAAATGAAGTAATGAAATAAATATTGTTGCCTTTGGTCTTATATCACTAAACCCACTTTAATCCTATTTTTTGTTATCTAAATTTCTAGGATGATGAGTTATGATTATTTACAGATCGACTATTGTTCTCATCTTTTGGATGTTATGCCTTATGGCCATGCTCACTGAACCCTTTATATAAGCTACACAGGTAGACTTTTCTCCATTCCACTACTCATCTCTAAAGATATTGTCTAGTTCTTATTTTATTTAGTACTGTTCAATTATCAATCACCCATTTCCACAGGGATTGAACTCAAAACAGCTATCTCACCAATACTTCTTAAAAAAAAAAAAAGAGGGTTAATTTATTTTTTTTAATTCTTATTTTAATCAATTCAATGGTTAGTTATGTAACTTTCAGATTTACTGTATTTTCTGGCACCAAGGATGCATCTTAATTTTGATTTTCAAAATTTTAAAGGAAGAAGATTAAAAAATCCTGTAACCCATTAGGATTGTAGAGGCACCAAATGTAGTGCATCCATAGCACCAGTGGTGTGTCTAGGGCATGATAGCCTGACAGTGCCCATCACTCTTCAAGCTGGTTTTGAATTCAGTTTGTGTTGTCTAGTTGCCACTTCAAGGCAAATGAGCAAAGTCAGCCCTGCTGTTTAATTCATAGCTAGGAGGAAAAAAAAGAAGCCATCTTTTAGCTGTAAGGCACAAGGTAAATTCACCTGTATAGATTTTTCTTTCTTTTTTATTAACATTTGGCACTGTCATATTTAATGTTTTCTTTTTTCTTTTTGTGTAATGGTTGGCCATTTATAACTGAGCATGCCTGTGTACTAGGTCAGCTAGCCAATCCCAGTTGCAGATGCCTGCACAGACACATTTGTCTTTGTTCAGCAACGACAAAGCCTACTTGTAGTTTATACTGCAACTACACTAACCAGACCTTAGTTACAGTTTTTGAAAGAAAGTGTAATCAGGCATGTTCAACTGTTTGAACAAGGCCAGTATTCTCAAACCCTCAGCCATGATGACTTTGTGCTACCATTGATAAACAATACTATTTGCCCTTGTTTCACTGACAAGGTTTGGGCAAACCTGTGGTTTTGTTTACAGCCACTTTCCAAAAGTGTCACAAGCTGGGGTCACTTATCCAGAATGATAACATCAAAAAGTCACTTTCCCAATGAATCAACCCTATATATATATATATATATATATATAATTTGTTTGTCACTACTGGGTGATAGTTAAAGTTTTGTGATTAGTGATTGCTATGTGCATGAAACTTTAATTATCATTGGGCATTGAAGAACATATATATTTCTTACTAATATATATTTTAGCTCAGTTATTTTAAATCAAGCACTGTTTTATTACTACTAGGTCTCCCTGTGAATATGCGGTATTTTGGTGTATGCAGGATTGAGAGGTGATGAACAAGTTCTTTTGGTGAATGAGCAAATTGTAATGAATGAATGGGTTGCAAATCTAATTAACTAGGACTAGGATAGTTAATGAAGACCTGCCCACCCACCTTTTTCACCCCTCACACCTTGTGCCACAATTCTGTATGTTACAGAATAAATATCTACTACTAGCACTCTGAGCTATTGTGTGTCTGTGTGTATCTATCATATATATATATATATATATATATATATATATATAGCTGAGAGCTTTTGAATTTTGTTGATTTTTCTAAGCTAAAAAATAACTATGTAAAATAAATTGCTTGGTGTCAATTACAAAATATTTACAAAAAATAATAACGTTTGGTACATGGATAAAAACAAAAATTATTCTCTTTTTTATGGATATTTTGTTATGAACTTTTGATATTGTATTTTCTTAAAAATTAAAAAAAAATCTTGAGAAATGCTAGGAATTTATGAAAAGTACAAAATAAATTCCAGGTCAGTCATTGTTTGGCATAAGGAAAAAAAATATATTCCTTGGAGCCTTATATATTTGCAGTGACTTAAATTATTTTGATATTGAATGTAAACATGATTCAGCAACTCTTTGGACTGTCTTTATTTTTGATTGTTACACAATATTTTATTTAATTTTTTTTTTTTTTAATTTTCATGCTAACAACATTTCATGCATCATCATTTGTTTACCCTTGTAAAATCTTTTGACCTTAACTGTGGGGCATGAACCACAAATTAGCTTACAAACAGAATGGGGCCAATAAGAACACATTTTATGGGCCAAAATAACATGAAGGTTTTCGAATTGATGGGAGCAAAATATTCACTAGTTTTGTTAATAAGTTTTCTTTTCTTTTTTTTTAAAATGTTATGTCCCTTCAGAACATAAGGGATCATGGTTCTCCCAGTTTCTTAATCTTTAAACTGCCATACCTTAGGAAAGATAGTGGAGTAGTTTCTATTGTGTTGCTTGTCATCTCTGGATTCTAGTGGTCTATTGGCAATTCCTCAGTAGGGACCCCAATGCTTATCACTGACTGAATCAACAAAGATAATTTTCTTCAGTTTTCTAACTCACTTTATTTCAAAAGTGGGGCGACATAACAGGGGAAACATTTCTTAGAGAGAAATAGAGAGAATGGACATCAAAGGTCAGCTACCTATCATCTCCAAAGTGTGATTTGTCGCCCTGCTTAAACCATAGTCTGGCAAGACTTGGAAAACACCAGATCTGTACTCTTACAACCATACTATTTATGCACCCTCTTTGATCTTTTTGGTCTTATATAAAAAATTTAAAGATAATTACTTGCTGCCAGGATTCCATGGAGTTCAGAGCCTCCAGAGTTCTGACTAGGATGTTAGGGCTTGCCATTTTTTCAAGCCTTTGCATTTTGTAACATTTCCTTTTCCATGGTTTACAATTCAGGGTTTTTCTTTTTAGCCTGGCTTCATCCAAAGATATACCACTCTGTGAAGTTGGTGAATATCTGAGTGGCTAGAAAATTATTCTAAAAGGAAAACCCCAAATTCTAAACCATGGTAAAGGAATTGTTTGAATCGCACCATGCTTAGTTTGTCAAGGAGGTGACTTCTTGATAATATCAGCCTGGGGAAACAATTCTATGGGAAGTGCTTGAAAATCTTGTTTCAAGTTGACCAAAACTTGTGAATGAAGTTGGATAGATGAAACTGAATAATTGTGCTTGAACAAAGTTACAAGTCATCATGACTCAGTGTTTGAATGCACTGGCTTTGCTCGGCTGCTGATCATGCCAGATTATGGATCTCTCTTCCTGAAACTGCAACTAGTTTCTACTCAGCAAAGCTGCAGTATCAAATACAAGTGTGCTCTGTTAATGTTGAACAAACACCTATGTGCTTGAGCAGATGTCTGCTATAGTGATTTGCTAACCATTCTAGTAGATACATTAGTCTTTCAAAACTGATGGATGCCTACTTTTAGTACACGTAAATATCAATCCTCATTTTTTATTAATCTTAAGTAACTTGTGTGAACAAAATTCTTTCTAATTTTATGCCAATAAACCATTTTTTTCTCTTTCCAGTGCTGTATATTTTGGCATACCAAAATGTGGGTTAACTATTATTTTCTTTTTTTTCTCCTTGCAGGTCGAACTCTACGAGGGAAAGCATTTTATAATGTCCATGGAAAGGTTTATTGTGAAGAGGATTACTTGGTGAGTTTTGTTCTTTTGTATCTGAACCTTATTTAAACTTGGGCCATATCACATTGAAACACCAGTTTTGGTATGATCACCAATATTAAGCAGTATCAAGTCTGGTCAGCTGTAAACTTGGATGTGTCAGTGGTGTAATGGATAATGGCTTGGAATTGTTAATCGGTGCAACTGTGTCTACCAGAGCTTTAGAAATCCCTGTGCAGACCGCTAATTGTCGTTTGAGGAATTTCAGATCTACTGTGTCTGCCAGAGCTTCAGAAAGCCCTGGGGTACAGCGAGCATGGCTTAACAGCAATGGCCAGATTGCAAGGACAGATGCTCAGTGTCATGGGTCTGCATTTAGGTGAATAGTGTTTCGCCCATGGACAGCTTTACGTAGGCTGCTCCCGAGTCGGGAGTAAGGATAACATTTACGTTTACTCTCCAACATACAAAGCTAAAAATATTACCTATGCAGAAGTCCTATAGCCCATGGTCAGTTACGTTTAAATGCAATGTATACATCTTTATGCCAGCTGCATCGTAGGTTCCTTCATTTTTGAACCTGGTTTATTTAAAGGTCATCGTAGTATCCACTTGCCATTACTAAAACATATCATTAAAGGTTATCTTGTTCAACAGATGCTCCCTTATTACTTAAATCCCACCAATTACAGCCAGGTTTGTTATATTCACTTATGTGCAAATACACATGGAAAAGGTATGAATCCACCTCTTCTGCCCCAAGCTATGGGTTAATTAGTATGTCTTGTATCAGTAAATCATTATTATCTCCACAAAGCTCTTACAATCTAATTTTTAAACAACTTTATAAAAATAACTTATAAAATACTGATAAGCCATAAAAACAAACCTTTCAATCAAAAAAACATGAGTAGTGTAAACAAGAGCATTTCCAGAGACAATTCATGTTTGAATGACTGTTTGAAACTTGTAAAACTAATCAAGGAATAGCGGAATACAATCAATAAAGAAATTTGAAAATTTTTATAAACAATTAAGTATTTTCAGAAAATCCCGTTTATAAATATTTCCTTGGAATGATTATTGCAAAAAACATTTTTATTTCCATAATGCAGACATTGATATGTTTCTTAGATACAGTTGGTAACTTTCAGAGACAGTTTAGGAAGTGACTAGTGAAGAGTTTGTGCTTTTTATGCTGCACTTCAAAAGTCATTTCTGTATCAATGTCTATTTTTATACATTTTTGTAATTTTATGTTTAACTCTTGAATGGTTACACAATTCTGCAGCAAGCCATAATGTCTTTCTATTGATTTTGTAGACAAATGAATTTGTAAAATTTCGCATATAAATATATTTATAAAAGGAGAACTTATTTTAGCTGATGTGTTTTGCTTTATTGAAGCAAATGCAAGGATTTTATTTAGTAACAAGTATTTACATAGAAGAGCAAAGATGTTATTGATTTTACAAAATTTTTAATTTTTAAGAGATGCTCATAAATACTAATCAGGTTAGCTGAAAAGTCTAGGCAAGCTATAGCGGGCACCAAGTGACACTCTTCACAATGTCTAATAAATGAAAGTGAGTAAACAATGTTCTTGAAATTTGAAAAAAATATTTTTAATGCAAATTAGTATTTAAATTATTTTAATTTGGAATTAATTTATGTTTTATAAATTTTAAATAACATGAGGTTATGAATTTAACCGTTTTCTTTTAGATTTTTAACATTTTTATAGTTATCTATGTGGGCTTGGAAAAAGAGTAATTCTTTCAGGAAAGGTGATATTTGAAAAAGTCCAGGTTGCAGATTTATATTTTGATAAGATTCAATAGCAGCACCTTCAAGAATTTTACTTTTAAGTAAGTTACTTTTTCTTTTAATAATGAATGAATAAATAAATGAATTTGTGTGTTATCATTATCATTTGAAAAATGTAAAGTTCATACTTAATACATTTATTGCCTGTGCAATTATCTTATAAAACACTGAAAGTAATGTAAGTGCTTTGGGAAGAAATCAACCAGAAAATCATGTTACTTTAGTCAAGAGTCAGCAATTACTTATTCATTCTATTAATGGAATTTGCTTGTCTGTATGAATGCAGTTTACTTCAGTGATTCACAAATTCCTGACACCAAATCAGTCAGTTGGAAAATTGGTATTTATATTTAGATGTCTGTGTCTGAGTGGTCTAAAGCACACCAGATCAGACAGTGCTTTCCCCCCACAAAGTGGGGTCATAGGTTTGAACCCTCCCAGAGAACTCATTTTCTTTATTAATTCTCTTGAATGTGCAGGCCAGTAGATGTAAAAACAGAGTGTCTGCTCAAACGTGTGTATCCACTAAAGTAACATTTAGAGCAGGCATGGGCAACCATTTTCAAGCAGTAGGCTGCATGATCTATGGGTCATCACAAGGTGGGCCACCCTACTAAACAAATACAAGATAATTTTTCATAGTAGATACCTCAGATATTGTCAATACAGAAAACAGTTTGCGTAAACATAGACCTTAAAAATTGTAGGAAAGTTTTATTCATTAGAGAATTTATTTTTTTAGTAATAAAAATAATTGAAGTATAGTATAATATTATCCCTGATGACAACATGATTAACACATCGCTGCGTGTGAATTATTTCTAATTTATTCATTTGAAAGTAAAAACATTTCTTCTTTAGAGAAAAAATTCTTATGAACGTTTCCTGTTTCAAAAGCAAAAGATGTTTACACATATGATCTTTCATAGTGAAAATCATCAGTGGTGTAAAATGTTACTTTCCCCAAAACTTTTACAAAATTCAAGAAACATTGTACTTAATTGTTAATGTATGTGGTTATGTATGAAAGAGTGTGTGAGTGAACAAGTGAGAATTAAACAAAATAAAATTTTAAGAAACTTTATTTTCCTTATGAAATTAAGCATGCCATTTAGAAAAGCCAAATGGGTCACATGTGGCCTGCAGGCTGCAGTTTGCCCATGACTGATTCAGAGTACTAAGAAATTATATAATAGTTAATTGCTGAAACCTCCTGAAGAGTGGATTGAACAATTGCCAAAAAGTTTATCTATGAAACTCTAGACTTGAGGTGTGAATGAAGCTGGATATTTATTTGTATTAATCCTACACACACACACACACACACACACACACACATATATATATATATATATCTGAGATTAGGTATTGTAACTATTTACATTGTTTGGACTTTTGTCCTCTTTCAAATTCCAGTCGAATCCATTACATTCACTTACATGCTAATACCCTTGGGAAAAGTATGAATCTTTCTTCTCCCCCCAGCTATGGGTAAATAGCAGGACAGACCGAGTTCTATAGCCTTGGATGGCAACTGGTTTACCACAGAAAGAAATGGCAACCTACTGTGGGGAAAAAATCTTCCTTGTCAGTCATATATCAAAAGATACATGGTCACCTACACGTGTATCACACATGGCCCATAACTGACTGACTAACTGTCCTCATTTTTAATTTTGTATTCACGATGTTTCGGCCGTTGTATGCTCTGGCCTTCTTCAAATGATATTAGTTGGAATTTCGAATACATGGCCCAGTGGATCAAGTTGTTGGTTTATTGATCCAAAAGTGACTTAATCCAAAGAGTTGTGAGTTTGAAACCTGGTCACAGTCGATAGAGCAAAACTTGCAGAGTTATCAAAAGGAATTAACTAAAATGGAGATATCCAAAAGCATGGCACATGGAATTAGAACAATCTACCCCCATGGACTAAATAAAGGGTTCAGTTTGAAATTTCAACTAATATCTCCTGAAGAAGGCTGGAGCATACAATAGCCAGAATGTCATGAATATGGCAATAAAGATGAGGTCAACAGTCCAAACACTGTAAATAGGGTAAATATATATTGTAATGCATCACTGACTTGAATATATCAATAGTTGAGCAAAAACACAATGCACATGGCCTGATGATTGCATTTAGCATGAAACAGACTGTTGCCTCTGGGTGTTGACTTCAATATCCACTTTTATATTAGCATACACTTTATCCCCAATATTTATATGTATAGCATACCTTAAAACTATATTTTATAGAATTAATATAAGTAAAAGTTTGTCACTTAGCTGATTGATGTTACTTTCTGCATCCTGACTCCAGAGTTTTGTAGATGGATCTGTCCATCCACTCTTCAGGGGTTATCAACAATTAACTGCTTATATTTCTCAATTTTTATTTTTTATGCACTCATCATTATTTTTCTATATTGTTTGTGTTTGTCTGTGCATTTACGTGTGTGTCGCCATGCACTCATCTGTGCATTTGTGTGGAGGTACGTATATGTAGGATGTCATGATTATTTGTCCTTTTCTTTGTTTTTTTTACACTCAGTGATTTGTCTTTTTTTTCCTTTTTCTCTTTTTTTCAGTTGTAGCCATTTGTAGCTATTTTCAGTTTTTTTTCTAGACATGCTATATTTAATTTTTGAGTGCCCTCATTTTTTCTAGAGCTAGGAAAGTTGCATTTCATTTTTTACATAATTGATATTAATGCTTAAATGATAAAGTAAATATTTTTATGTCTTTATTTGGTTATTATTTTGTTTTCTTATTCGGTTTGGTGGTATCTTTATTAATTCTAGGAGGTTAAGTTTATAATTAAATTTTTATCTATTATTATTTGAATTTATATGGATATGCCTGTATTTATATGCTTGCACATATGCACTTTCATCCATATATATATATATATATATATATATATATATATATATATACACTCATGTGTACATATATACACACATAAATGCGTGTACACAGACACATGTACACTTGTGATGTCTGTGCTTTATTATTAAACTAGTGCTTAAATGGTAAATTTTTTTTCCTATTTTTTAGGATATTAATTAAGGTTGGCTGAGTTTATAGTGTTTTCTTTGTGTTTGAATATGTATATAGAGTATATACTCCCATGCACTCATGCATGCCTGCTGCACATATGTAATTTTTAAATAGTATATATTTGGTAAATTAAATATTTGCTTAT